GACAAATATCATATGTTTGCACGTATAGGAGGATTAGGAGGAACTTGACGGAGGAACAAGGGGGAGAAGAAGGGCGGAAATGGTGGGGGAAAGGGAGAGAGGCAAACCATGAGAGACTCTTGAATGCTGACAAAAACTGAGGACTGATGGATGTGGGGGGAGGGGGGGATGGGCATGGAGGAGGACACTTGTGGGGATGAGCACTGAGTGTTATGTGGAAACTAATTTGACAATAAACTATTTGTAAAAAAAAAAAATAGAAAGCCATACCAAAGTGTCCTGCTAGGAAAAAGGAATGATTTTCAAATGGGAGAATTCCAGAGATAATTATAATAAATGTTTTGGAGGGAAAGCATACAAAACACATCTCCTATCATACCTGACAAATGACAAAATTAGTTTTAATACTGTATTTGGATGCAACTATAATTTTGCCTTTATCAATGTGTAGTATTTAATTAGTTTATGCATAAGATATTAAAATATATTCTTTCAAAAAAAAAAAAAAAAAAGCCTGGCTCAATCATAGTGAACTCACCTTATACTGTCAATTTTTTTCACTTAATACTTTCACTGTTTCTATCTTAACATCACAATTATGTTAGCAGCTGAAATAATATTCCATTATGTGGATGTAAAAAAAATTACACATTTATTTACTGATTGTTGGGCAGTAGGATAGTTTCTAAGTAACATTTTGCTGTTACCGGTCACATAGTAAATCAGTCTGGTTTCTTTTAAAATATTTTCCTGGAGTTAAGTTTTCAGGAATCAGATTAGTGGGCTAAAGCCTATGCATTCTTTATGGCTCTTCCTCTGTATTTTCTTATCACTTTTCCAAAGGCTGTGTTTCATCACTAACAGGAAGCAGTTCATAAACTTTCAGCAACAATATCACTGAAGGTTTTTCTTATTTAATAGGTATAAAATGATACATAAAATCTATATTTATTTTCTAAGTTTGGATACCAATGTAGCATGTTTCCATGTGTTCATTAATTGTATTTCTAATATTATTTCTTTATATCTTCAATAACTAAACCTGGAGAAATTATGAAGAAGCTTTGGAATTCTTTAAGGGGCTTTAAGGTGATAGTCTTTCTTCTTCTTTGTTTCTCTCAACTATTTAACTGGAAATAGATGCATTACTAGCCTTCTTTCTGAATAGATTGGGTCCATGAGGGCAAGAGATCATGCCCATTGTATTACCACTGTATCTCCAAACACTTAGGACTTCATTCATTCATTCAGTCAGTCATCACTCAATACAGATACTGAACTTCTGCTGGGTTCCAGGTGCTGCCTTGACACCACGGAGACAGCACTGGACACAGATATGACAGGGTCTGACTGTGCTTTAATAGGATCTGGGTCTGCTGTACTGTGTGTAGACTGTGGAGAACGGCCAAGGGCAGGAGGACAGGGAGCAATGCTCCAGATGCAAGGTGAAGGTGGCTATGATGCAAAATGCGTGATGGAGGTGGTGAGCAAGAGGTCTTCATACTAGATATAGTGTGAAGGCTGAGTCAACTATTCCCAGCATCTGCTAGGCACTCAATACTTGTGTAACAAGAATAGTAGATATTCATTCATCCTAATTGTTTAACTTTGTAGTTCCAGACAAAACAAATGTGTACCACTTACCTCAATTCCTCAACCAAAATTTCTTCTTTGTTTCGCATTTTATTCTCTCTTTACCACTCCCTGATACTGACCACCACCCCATGTCTTGTCTTGGTGAGGTTCCAAGCACCACCCAGGTAGGATCACTGCCATGACCTGATATGCCCTTTGCCAGGGGCCCTGCCTCACTCCTGGTTTTCACTCGAGCTAAGGCTCCGTGACACAGGCTATCCTTACAATGGCCATCGTGACTCAAGCCCGAATCCACAGAAGGAGAATGGAATACTGCAAATGTCTATTTCCTCTTCCAATTCCCCCTTTATCATTAGAAACAAGCTAGGGGACAGTATTTGAGAAGAGGTCGCAAGAGGGACAGAGAAGTAGGTGAGGTACCTGGCTCATGGCAAGAGTCCAACTCTCCCACTTTCAGGAGATTCCAGGTGATGCCCTCCTGTCTCATGGTTGGTGGAAAAGAAGGTGAGGTCCACTGGACCGGGGATAGAAATGAGTACCAATGGCCAGATGGTCTTCCAAGGCAATAAAAGAAGAATTAAGTTCAAAATGGAATGGTTTTAAAAGGAGCATATGATGGTAGCTATAGAGATAGACTGTGTTTACGTGTTCATTACATTGGGAATGGCCTATATTTTAAGCTTGAGTCAATATTTTAAATCTCATTCCTTCTATGCATTCATTCAACACATATTTACTGAATGCCTCTAGGGAGGGTACTGAGATGAACAAGACAGAATGTCTGTGTTTACATGGAGCTTATGGCATGATAGAGGAGACAGGCAGATAAACAGATATGTAACACAGTGCTGGGAAGAGGTTAGTGCAAGGAGGAAAAATAAAGCAAGGCAAAGAACAGAGAGCAATGGGCATAAAGGCTATTTTAGAAAAGAAAAAAAAGGCTTCTCTGACAAGGTAACATTTGAACTGAAAGAAATATAAAATAATCCATAAGCACACTCAACATACACGAACAAATTCAGAGCATTTGTAGGACTCTAGGCAGGCATGGTTATAGAAGAACGAGCAAGCAAAGAAGAGAAGATAGGATCAGAGATACAAGCGAATGTCAAATGGTGTAGGCTAGCATCAGCAACCTGGACTTTATCTGAACTGCACTCGGAAGCTAGCCTGTCAATCTTAAGCAGGGAGTAAAATGATCAGATTTATGTTTTTAGATACTGTTCTCTCTTAGAGGAGACCTGGCTGTGACCAGGCACAGCGGTTACACAGACTAGAGAGAATAATAGTTTAACTTCAAGTGAGAACGTAGAAATGGCAAGAAAAAGTCTAATTCAGAATGTGGTTTGAAGGTAGAGCTAACAAGACTTGCTGACGCATCAGGCATGGATTATAAAGAAAAGAGCAGTCAAAGAGGAATCCTAGGTTTGGGGCTTTGGAGACTAGGTAAGGAGTGGGATCACATACTATGTGGGAAGAGGGGGAGGCTAGGGTGGGTTAAGTTGGGCAGGAAATGAAGAGTTCTATATCAGACATGCTACAGTTGAAATGCCCTCCACACTGGATCTGGAGCTTAAAGGGAAATACTTTGGCTGGAGGTATCCATTTAGAAGTCATCAGTGCCTAGATAAATATTTAAAACTATGTAACTAGACATGGTCTCCACCCTTGAGGATTCAGATTAGAATAGTCACCCATCTAAAGATATCTTTGAATTTGAATGCACAATTGAACAAACCACATGGGAACCTACAGGAAAGGAAGAAGGCAACAGCACCGCCTACTCACCTTTGGCACCAGCTGATGACTTTGCAATCCAAACATTGCCTTCTCCATCTTCTTTCTTTCTATTATAAGAAGCCAGGAAGAATTCCCTTTCATCTGTCCTTGAGTTATGGATCGGTGGGTGGATTCCATTCTGTGCTGGAGCAACTGGGGTCTTGAGATTAGTTGGGTAAATCACATAGGACTCTGGAAACCATGTGCAGGACTCAGCCAGGTCTGGGCTCGTCTTGATTAGCCTGACAGATGACAGAGGATCAGTCTCTATTCTTAGGATACTCTGCCACTCCATTCAGAAAAGCCAGTGCTTTCCCCCAGAGCGTGCCAAAGAGGCAGGGCAATACCAGGGCCAGGAGCTGGTCTCTCTATCCCACTCTGCCCTTGGCCTCCCCGAACAGACTTGTAAGGCACTACCGGGCAGCACATAGCTATTACGTGGAACCCTTCAGACATGTTCCGAATGGTTAAACATGAGCTTAAGGTCTAGAACTTTAGCCACTTTTATTTTTTAAAAGCAGTATTTAACTAGTTTATCTTTCTTTTTTTAATTTAATTTTATTTTTTAATGTTTTATTTATTTCTGAGACAGACAGACAGAGAGCGTGAGCAGGGGAGGGTCAGAAAGAGAGGGAGACACAGAATCTGAAGCAGGCTCCAGGCTCCAAGCTGGCTGTCAGCACAGAGCCCAATGCGGGGCTCAAACCCACGAACCGTGAGATCATGACCTGAGCTGTCAGAGGCTTAACTGACTGAGCCACCAAGGCACCTCATATCTTTCATTTTTTAAAGTTTATTTATTTATTTTGAGAGAGACAGAGTGTGAGTAGGGGAGGGGCAGAGAGGGAGAGAGAATCCCAAGCAGGCTCCACGCTGCCAACACAGAGACCGACACAGGGGTTGAACTCATGCAACCTCAAGATCATGACCTGAGTGGAAACCAGGAATCAGGCGCTTAACTGACTGAGCCAACCAGGTGTCCTCAGAACTTTAGTTCTTTTTAAAATGCATCTCTAAGGAAACTTGAAGTAATTCTGAGACCATACTTTTTCAACATACATGTAACGGTTAGGCTAAACCCAAAAAACAAAGTAGAGAACTTAGGAAACTATTTGGTTTACTAGAAAAAATACTATCTTGGCCCAACTCTCTAAAGAACAAAGGCCACTGCTTAGGAATATGAATTATCCCAGAGGCCTGGGTGGCTCAGCTGGCTAAGCATCTAACCTTGGCTCAGGTTGGTGCATTCAAGCCCCATGCTGGGCTCTGTGCTGACAGCTCAGAGCCTGGAGCCTGCTTCAGATTCTGTGTCTCCCTCTCTCTCTGACCCTCCTCTGCTCACGTTCTGTCTCTGTCTCTCAAAAATAAATAAAATGGTAAAGTTATTAAAAAAAGAAATCTGAATTATCTAAAGATTTATCTTAGTTCTTCATTTTCTTGCTTTTAGCTCAACCTGGCTTCAATGACAGAATAAAGGAGGAATCTTTTTTTATTTTTAATGTTTACTTATTTATTTTGAGGGGGGGGGAGAGAGAGTAGGAGATGGGTGGATGGGGGACAGAAAGAGAGAGAATATCCCTAATGTGGAGCTCGAACTTTCGAATTGTGAGATCATTACCTGAGCCGAAATCAAGAGTCAGACGCTTAACCAACTGAGCCACCCAGGTGCCCCAGAATAAAGAAGGAATCTTTCTAATGGGGCCCAGGACTCTAGTGGTCATAACTAAACATACCTTCTGCCCCCAAAATTACGTGACAAAAGATAAAGTCAGGCCCTGGGCAAGGCACTTACTTAATAAACACAAGGGCTTACAAAGGGCCTCCCATTGCATTTACTCTCTAATCAGACCCCCAAAGGGGAGACACTAGCATCCCATTTCATAGATGAGGCACTGGGTCACCAAGAAGTAGATTTGCAAAGATCATAAAGGTAGTAAGAAACAGCTACTATGCAAGCCCCAAACTCCCAGTCCTCACCCAAAACTTACTCTTACTCCCCAGGAATCAGAGGCAGGAAGGAGCCCACCCAAAGATCTGTAAGCCTTCCCTAAGCTGCACTCCCTCCTCTACCTAGAACAGAACTCTATTAATGTTAAGTCTGTGTTAAGATCCACCTGCAAGGGGCACCTGGGTGGCTCAGTTGGTTAAGCATCTGACTCTTGATTTCAGCTCAGGTCACGAACTCATAGTTTGTGAGATCATGCCCTATGTTGGGCCCTGTGCTGACAGCACAGAGTATGCTTGGGATTCTCTCTCCTTCTCTCTCTCTGCTCCTCCCCTGCTCACACTGGCAGGCTCTCTCTCTCTCACTCTCTCTTAGAATAAAGAAATAAACATTAAAAAAAGATTCACCTGAAATATCAACCTATGAGCAAACGGCATAATGAAATTTCCAACTGAGATTTAAAGTAAAATTATTTTTAAAAAATCTTTAAATGTTTATATTTATTTTTGAGAGAAAGAGCATGAGCGGAGAGGAGCAGAGAGAGAGAGAGACACACACACAGAATCTGAAGCACGCTCCAGGCTCTGAGCTGTCAGCAGAGAGCCCAATGTGGGGCTCGAACTTGTAAACTGCAAGATAATGAAGTCAGACGCTTAACCAACTCAGCTGCCCAGGTGCCCCTAAAGTAAAATTATTTTTAAGCCACAGGCAACAGAATCTGAAAGTTACTTGAATTCAAAGGAAGAAAAATCAATACATTTCTAACTCACTGAATATTCAACACTATCTACACTGGCCAATACAGTGGCCACTAGCCACACGTGGCCTCTGAGTACCTGAAATTTGGCCAAGGTGACACAGGAAATGAATTTTAAACTTTGTTTAGTTTTAATGTAAAAACTGAACTATGGTAAAATATTCTGCTATTATTCACAATATCACTCTTCTGGCAGGATGACATTAACCACTGCATGACCTCAGATATTTCTGTGGTCCTGTGGCACGTGTGTCAGGCGCATGTGTTGTTCCCAGTAGTTGACAAAACACATCACTGCTCTACTCTGGGACAATAGATTGATTCAGTTGAAGTGACTTTATCCCCCATGTATTGATGAAGCATCATAATGTGTTTATTATGCGGACAGCATGAGTTACAACAAAAACTATGCAAATCTTAATTGGCAACTAACATGAAATATAACTACGTATCTAGCAAAAAAACAAGTATGGAAAAATTTTTTAATTTAAAACAAAGGCATACTACAGACGCCAAATATTTTTTTTGTAAAGTTAAGGTGATAGTTTTATTCCCTTTGAGTTTCTATATTATCTGCATCTCCATCGCTAGAATTCCATCCGCTCTCAATTGACTTCATGAGCACTGCCTCCAGCACATTCCTGGTGTACCACTGACATTCATTTAGCATGGCTTTGTTAGAGGAAGAAATTTCTTCTCTCAGTTTTTGATTCTCATTAAAAAATTTTTTTTAATGTTTATTTAATTTTGAGAGACAGAGCACAAGCAGGGGAGGGGCAGAGAGAGAGAGGGAGACACAGAATCCGAAGCGGGTTCCAGGCTCTGAGCTGTCAGCACAGAGCCCAATGTGGGGCTTGAACCCAGGAACCATGAGATCATGACCTGAGCCGAAGTCAGACGCTTAACTGAGTGACTGAGCCACCCTAGGCACCCCTTGATTCTAATTTTCTAAATCAAAGACTGATGCAGACTTAAGTGGGGATGCCAAAGCCAGAACTGTGACCAGAATAGTAAAGAAAAAGAAAAAAAAAAAAAAAAAAGGAATGGGCAGAAGGTGTGACAGAAATTTCACAATAAGTGGCAACTGCAACTTGCTATAGCAGAGTTACAAAGGAGACATTTTCAGAAAATACATAATGTAAACGAATTTCATAAGCAGGTTCCAGTCAATCATAAAAATACAGGGGAGGCAGAGAACCCAAAAAACAGACTTTTAACTGTAGGGTACACACTGGTGGTTACCAGAGGGCAGGTGGGTGGGGAATGCACTTGTGATGAGCACCAGGGGTTGTCATAAAGGTTGAATTACTAAATTCTAATCTGAAACTAATATTACACAGTATGTTAACTAACTGAAATTTAAATGAAAACTTAAAAAAATAATCAGTGAAATCTGTGGCTGAAATCAGAATTAAATACCTAACAAAAATTTTTAACATATTTTTAACAGGCTCTGAAGTTGTAACTTTGGTCAGGTTATAAAATGGCACGGATTCTTGCACAAAAAAGAAAACCATCTCTATCTATCTATCTAGCTAGCTAGCTAGCTATTTATCTATCTATCTATTTACATTTTAGAGAAAGAGAGTGTGTGAACAGAGGAAAGGGACAGAGGGAGAAAGATGGTTGAATGCTCAACCAACTGAGCCACCCAGGTGCCCCAAGAAAACCATTTTAGATAGAAATACAGTTAGAGGAAATATTCTGAGGAAAAGAGTAAAACAGATATTTACAAAAAGTGAACAATGTTTATTTAGCTAAGTCATGAACAACATGTATTAGAAAGTACAAAACCTTTCTAATAATATCAAAGACTGATTCAAAAATTGAAAAATCTTAAATATTTTCCTTTAGTTTTAGTTGTCTTCTCTAACATGAGATAATGCCCAATTAATACGTTGGGTATGTTCTGCTTCTAATAACTTTTTATAAGTTTATTTATGTATTTAATTTGAGAGAGAGCAAGAGAAAGAGCTCACACACACGCACAAGTGAGGGACTGGCAGAGAGACGGAGGGAGGGAGGGAGGGAGGGGAGGGGGGGAGGGAAGGGGGGAGAGAGAGAGAGAGAGAGAGAGGGCTTTGCTCTGTCAGTTCAGAGCCCAACGTAGGGCTCAAACTCAGGTTATGAGCCGAAATCAAGAATCAGACACCTAAATGACGGAGCCATCCAGACGCCCCTCAAAAAATTTCAAATACATGACAAAATATCAAATTGCAGCCTTAAAACTATCAACCTTGGGGTGTAGATATTTTTTAACCTTTTACATCTGTCAAAGAAGAATCTCACCTACACGTGAAAATTTCTACTGTGACACTACTTCAGCTAGGTTGGATTGAAAGCTGATTTAATGGGATATTAATAGACTGTAGACTGAGGTTTCTTTAGTGTTTCATTGTACTGTATGTTACATATTGGAAACACCTCGGTGTTCTGAAGCCCACTCTATGAAAACTATCATGGATACAGTTGTTGAAATGTTTTAGTATATACTTGCAAATGCTACAATGATTCCCCAGAATGGAACTGTTGAAAGAAACAGAAGACAATAGATTTAATGATACTGTGTTCTTTGCCAGTGTTCACTGACTGAAGAGAAAGGAGTTCTACAAAGATTCACTATATTGTCAACTCCAGCTCAGAGTCTCTTGAAATAAAAGAAAATGCTTCCCAAATCAATAATTAGTTCGTTCAATAAGCAAAGATAAAAAATGGCAGTGTGATTTACATTTTCTCATCGATATCCACACTGCATGTGATCAAGCTAAAGTTCCAAAGAAGGGAAAAGAAGATCTTATTTATGACCTAGCCAGACAGGTGCAAAAATCTATGTTCCAATTTCATACCACAAGCCAACAATAATGATTTTACATATTTTTATAACATGACTCAGTTGGTTAAGCAACTGACTCTGGATTTCAGCTCAGGTCATGATCTCACAGTTCATAAAATTAAGCTCCATTCCACATACTGAGCTGATGGCATGGAGCCTGCTTGGGATTCTCTCTGCCCCTCCCCAACTTGTCTTGGGCACATGCATGCACTTTCTCTCTCTCTCTCAAAATAAATACACATTAAAAAAAAAAAAAAAAAAAAAAGCATGCATGATTCAGGGCGCCTGGGTGGCTCAGTCGGTTAAGCATCTGACTTCAGCCCAGGTCATGATCTCACGGTTCGTGGGTTGGTGGGTTGGAGCCCCGCGTCAGGCTCCGTGCTGACAGCTCAGAGCGTGGAGCCTGTCTTCAGATTCTGTGTCTCCCTCTCTCTCTGACCCTACCCTGCTCATGCTGTCTCTATCTCTCTCTCAAAAATAAATAAAGCATTAAAAGTTTTTTTTAAAAAAGCATGACTCAATATGGAGATTTAAATGGAAATAGATAGCATTATGTAAATTGGCTAAAAAAACTAAAGAAAAGTTTGAAGAATGCTTTGTTGACATTACTAAATTTAGAGGAGTTTCTTTTCAATTTACTCAATTTTATTCAATTTATTTAGTATCTCTTTTGAATTCAATATTAATAATACTGTGTTAACACAAGAGGTGGCGAATTTACTTAACTTGGACATAGTTTTGAAGTCAAGTCAGTTCTAAAAATATGAACCAGCTTTGCCAATGTATGTGTAACTATGAAAGGAAAATGATTTTTCATTGAGTTACTGAAAACCTTTACATGGGAACAACTTGAGTACATAAATCAACATTTCAACCATAAATTTTCATGATATCTAAATACAGAGCAAGGGTTTTAGATGAAAATTTAGTATCTGGATTAAGATGTTTCAAAAAATGTAAACTGTATGCCAGATTTTGAGAACTTGGAATGAAAACAAAATCTGTAAAATATCTCATTAATTAAAAAAAATATCTCATTAATTGTTTTTATATTAATAACATGTAAAATGGATTATTTTGGATTTTCCTGGTTAAATAAAATATTATTAAAGTAAAACATATTGCAGCTATTTCTTTGTGTTTATTTTAATGCGGCTCCTAAGACATTTAAAATTACACATGCAGGGGCGCCTGGGTGGCTTAGTCGGTTGAGCGTCCGACTTTCGCTTAGGTCATGATCTCATGGTTCGTGGGTTCGAGCCCCACGTCGGGCTCTGTGCTGACTGCCAGCTCAGAGCCTCGAGCCTGTTTCAGTCTGTGACTCCCTCTCTCTCTGACCCTCCCCTGCTCACGCTCTCTCTCTAGAAATAAATAAAAAAAAACCTTAAAAAAAAATTTAAAAAAATAAATAAATAAAATAAAATTACACATGCAGCCAGCGTTCAGTTTCTGCTGGACACCATCCTTTGCAATCATCCCATTTCCTTATAAGCCTATTCAGAAGGAAACCACAAATGAAGGCTCATTTACATATATGTACGGGATAAAGTCTCGCAAGAGCAAAAGAAAGCCTCCAACCTAGGTCAGAGGAAAAGCCAGTCAGGGCTCTGAGACTATAGCCACAGGGCCTGATGAATTTCTCAAACTCCCTGAAGTAGCAGGAGGAAGGCACTTGCTGTCAAAGGGCCAGGGGAGAACACTATGGAGACTCTAGGAAGCCCTGTGAGGGATGCCCAGTCGCATCGCCCATAGGTCCGTTCGTACAGACTAGACCTGTCTTGGCTCAACACTAAGGGCCATGGCACCGGGCAACCAGCTGTCCTCTGTGAGCTGCCATTCTGCTCTACAGTAAAATGAGGAAATTACATTTTTCACTCTTTGGAGCTCTTTGAAGCCAGACAAAATTATGGAGAGACAAAATGACAAAGGGAACCGTCATTCCTGGAACTACTACAATCCTTTGCCAGCCGCCTAAGAGAATGACAGAAGCTTATGAGGACAATGACAAGCCCCAGCTGCATAAACCATGTCACCGTTTACAAGGTGCCATCACAAACCATGTCACATGTCACGGAGGGGCAAAGAACGAGCATGATCATCACCATCCACAGTGGTAGATGGGTTACTGGGATTCACAGTGGTGGTGTCCAGGGTCACAAAGATCTAGACACCTACTCAGACCCGATCAGGACTCCAGCCATGTAGTCACTTCGTTTTAACTGCTAACTATGCAAATATGTAGAATGTTACACATTTTTTTTTTTACACCATCCTCTGTTCATACTTCTAAAAGCTAAATTCTACCTTTAGCTTCAGATTTAAAAGGTAATAGTAGGAAAAAGATGGAATAAACCTTTAAATTTTTTTCTATATAAAAAATCTGGATAAATAATCATGTCCCACTTCCAGTCTTAGTTCTGGTGAAACAATCTTTTGTGTTCTAAATATGTAAATACGTAACAAGACTTCAGCAAGCCTCACTCACCTTTCAGGGTCGCTGGTGAATCATGAAAACCCATCCCAGAGAGAAGTGGATACATAAGTTACTGGGGCCAGTGAGTGTGGACAAAAAGGGGAAAATAATGCCATGAACACTCAACTCAGTAAACAGATAGGGACCAGAGAGAAATGTGAGTGGGGAAAAGAGCATTTGCATTGAGTTGTATCTTCATGTCTTCCTCCCTAAATGATTTGTTGAGCTACACACGCATGTTCACTAGTCTTCATGGAAAGAATACTGGGACCTATTACAACCCTGATTTGGGGGACACTACCCAGTTTTTCCCTACTGAAATGAAACAATAATAGCAGTCACAACCATAATAATAGTCATAAGAGCTTTTACTTATGTAGTGGGAACCACGAGACAGACATTATTCAAAGCTAGTACATAAATTAACTCAATTAACTCTTACAACAACCCTGAGGTAGTTACTATAATTATCCTCATTTTATTTACAGAAGGAAAAAAAATCAAGGCACAGAGTCAAACAGTTATTGTTTACCACTGTGCCATACACTCTACGTATCACCTTATCTAATCCTCACAGCCACCTTGAGGTAGATTCAGAGGCCTGGAAGGATGAGGAAATATGCCCAAGCTAATAAGAGGGAGACCTGGGATTAAAACCCAAGCTGTGGATCCTCCACCTCCATCACTTCGCTGTATAATACTGCTCCCCTCTACCTTGTAGTATTGTTCTTATGACACAGAGCCGGAACCCCACTGCTGAGAGGTGCGCAGTATAGCAGATACTGTTATTCCCTGCCTGGGTATCTTTCTGAGGAGACCCCTGGCTGCTGTGAGGTGGCTGCCAAGAGCTTATGCATGCCTCTTCTCCAGAGTCTAGCCCTTGCCCAGAAATGCAGGCGAAGCTACATTCTCCACATCCCCTAAGAGGCAGTGGCTGACTGATTAACTTAGAGGACAGAAGCCAGGTTCTCTAGTCTCAATTCTGAGGTACCATTTATTCCTGAGCTCCATGGAGCCGGGTTGAGGAGAGACTTCAGCTGAAACCATACCTTTGCTTGGCTTCCTCCCCTGCTGTCTGGCCTCCCCCTTGCTTCTGGAGGAGTTTCTCCTGAGAGCCTTCACCTCCCCTCCCCCCACCCCCGCCTTTAATCACCCACATAAGAAATCTGGCCTCCCATTCTGCTTCTAGGGAGCCTCACCTAAGAGACAGACAGACCTTATTAAGCACAAAGAGCAAAGTTTTAGGCTGTAATCAAAGTAGCATAGAGGATGCTCTGGAATTAATATTGTTGGCTTTTGAGATGAAAGTATTTTTGTCCAGAAAAAAAAAAAATCCCACATTTTTGCTAAAAGGCTTCAGGATGAAGGCTAAAAACGTTTATGTAATAGACTGAAAATGAATCTTAAACACTTACTTCACTAAAGAAGCTTTGCGACACAGCTTGTCAGCCCCCCTGTAGTAATTCACCAACTGCATCAGCCCAGGCTCGTGACCTATAAAGGAAAAAGGAGGCTCAGAAGGGAAAGAGGACAGGTGGGAAATGACAATGTCAGCACCAGCATGCAGGAGAGAGAACAGCTGTGTCATGCCCGGCTTTTCATGCTCCCATTTCAGGCCTGGTTGGTGGAAACGGAATAATTCCAGTGCCCTGCACCTGCCCCTTCCACAGCATGGAACCAGAAACCCTCCCCTCCTCCCCCACGTGGGTATTAAAGATGCCGATATCCCAGGGCTGCCAAAGACCACTACTGCCTTTGTTTTTTCTTCTTAGGGTGGAAGGGTATTTTCTATTTCATCTTTCTTTGATCCCCACCACACCCCACTCTTGGCTTAACACATAGGGACTTAGTAATCTCTACACAGTAGGACTTTTTTTAAAATTTTTAAAACATTTATTTATTTTTGAGAAGAGAGAGAGAGACAGAGCAATGAGCTGAAGAGGGGCAGAGAGAGAGGAGACACAGAATCCAAAGCAGGCTCCAGGCTCTGAGCTTTCAGCACAGAGCCTGATGTGGGGGCGGAACTCATGAACTGAACCGTAAGATCATGACCTGAGCTGAAGTCAGGTGCTTCTCTGAGCCACCCAGGCGTCACAAGCACAGTAGGACTTTAACAGTCACGTGCTGGCACTCCTAGCCTTGCTTTCTACAGCCATTAAAGAAGGCACTAGAACTATGATATCGCTGTCTTCAAGCATGTCTAACTCTATGAGCTTCTGGGAGAGCCACAAGAGGTGAAGGAAGGCAGTGGAGAAGCCATGTCCCTAAAATCAGAAGCCCTGAAGGCTTTCTGTGTATCCTCCACAGAGAAACTCATTTTCAATGAATCCTACTGCATGTCCCCTCCTCTACAAAACAGAGCAGAAAGGATACAAACAAACACAAAAGCCTCAATATTTGTTTAAAGTCTTAACAAAAATGCATTAAATTTCCAGTAACAAAAGTAAAAGTAAAACCAAACAAAGGGAGTTTGAGTAGAAGATGCCAGAGGTAAGAAGGATACATCTGAGAACAGCATATAATTAAATAAAAAAATATTGAGGCACTAACTAGCTCTCACTCTCCCTGGGGCAGATGAACCTAGCCTACCTTCCCATCCCCATGGCAAGGGCATTCCTGAGACTTTATCTGGTTCCATCCGCCATTTCCTTGGGTCTCACACAATGCACTGAAGCAAAAACTAAATATCTCCAACAGTGAAGACATAGAACCATTTTGGTTGTGGGATGTTGTTTTCTTTCCCATAAAAACCAAATGTTTTCTTATCACCTGCTGACTTTGTGGTGCCTGTTTAGGATTTGGACCCTGTACATTTCTGGCCTTCCCCCCTCATCCTGAGCACCAGAGCAATGCAAAACCACCCCTGCGTCAGCCCCAACAGAGACCTTTTTGCCTGTTTTTAATATTAGGATTCCCTCTAAGCTTCACAGCCAGGCACTGCCCAGTCTATAGAGGAAGGTAAGTCAGTCAGGCAGGGATGCGGACAGAGCAAGAAGGAAATCTATGTTCTCAACTATAGGTAGTTCTTCTTTCAGGGAAGGTATTCTCTTTGCCAAGGGCTTCCTGGAGAGGCAGTTTAACAAAAAGTAATCTCCAGGCACATTCTCTGTATTCCAAGATTGCTGGGGGCTGGAATCAGTCCCTCCATGGAGTCCTCGTCATAGAGCCTAAATTTATATAACAATAAAAAGTTGTCCATTCTAAAGAAAAAAATTCGATATGGTTATGCTACAACACCCTTCATTCCTGAAATGAATACGACTGTACACGCCCCCCACCCAAAGGCTCTATGGAAGCTCACCGGGAGCCAGTCCGTTCCAAAGGGCCAATTTTCAGTCTGCTCATTCAGCCTCTCCGTCCCCTGGCCACACCTCTTTCTAAAAACTATGTTCTCTGCTGGACACAGAACACCACTCTCTCTGGGTCGTCCTCTAAGGCAGAGATCACTTTTCCTCATTATCGATTCTCCCCTTCGTCTTTGGCAATTCTGTTTGGTCCCCGCCCCGGGAGAATTTTGGCAAGGAGCAGAGGCTGCATCCCCAGGATGACTGCGCAGGGAGGAGAAGCACGAGACCGTTCAGGTCAATAGGGTGTGAGTAGAAGTGATCTGCACAACTTCTGGATTACGTCATCTAGAAAGGAGCTGCTGGTCTTCTCCTTTCCCCTGCCCCTCCGTACAGGCGAGGATGTGGATATGGATGTAGACACGATGCCAAACCGGCATCAACCATGTGAGTGAGGGTAACTCCCTCGGGATGAGTGGGACGCACGGTGAAGCCAGTGTCAAGCAAAATCTGCATTCAACACACAACTAGGAAAACACATTCCTTGGGGAACCCAAGGAAAGGTCTAAATCAGACACCCTTCCTTCCGCCCTGGCCCGGGTTTGGCTCACTTCTGACGCTCCTGCTTTGGGAATCCAGAGATCTTTTCCAAACCCCCAGCTTATCTGAGCCTTCGGGTAGCTGAATCCGCAGGGTTTTCAACAGACCCAAGGATCTCCCCCGCGCCAACACCAGTCAGGGTTGAATTCTCAGCGCAGAAAATTCGCAAGAGGTCTCCAGCCGGAGGTCTGGCGCCGGCTCCGCCGGGCCCTGCCGCGCCCCAGCTCTGCCCCGCCGCCCCGCGCGATTTAGGGGCGCTGGGCCGGGGCAGTGGGGGAGCGCGCGGCCGACGCCCCCCCAGGCTGCAGGGGCCGGCCATTGTCCACAGGCAGCTGCGGCCCCGAATCCGATTTCGGGGACGAGAAGGCATGCAAAGCGGTGGGTGTACCTTTATGGATCCATTTTTTTCTCTGCCCGGAGAACGACGCAGGGGAAGATATATGACCTTAAGACAAAAGCGCTGCTGCTAACGGGCCGTGGGAGGAGCAGGAGGGCGGGGACGGGGAAGCGCTCACCCAGTCTCCCGAAGGGCAGCCGGTTCCTCTCGCCCAGCATCAGGTTGAACCTGGGGTTGTCTCGCCTGAGCCTCTTCCAGTGGCCGGTGGCGAGCAGCAGCCGCGAGACCTCGGCGTAGACGCTGCTGTTCTCGTCGCGCACCACGAAAGTGTACATGGCGAAAGGTCGTGCGCCCGGGCCGCCTGGGCCGCCGCCGCAGGGACCAGCCGGCCGAGGTGGCGGCACAGCGCGGAACCCGCCCGGGCGCACGCCGCGTCCCGGCCCCCGCCGCCGCCGGCTCCCCGCGCCTCTAGGATCCCGGCGGCGCTGCGCCCGGGCACCCGCGCGTCAGCCCGGAGGCCGCGCCCACCTCCCGGCGCGGCCCCGCCCCCGCCCCGTGATGCCGCGCGGCCGCCCCCGCCCCGGCCGGGAGGGGCCTGTGCGCCCTGGCGCCGCAGCGGGGCTCGGGCCCTGGTGGGGTCCGCCCAGGGGCTGGCGGGGGCGAGCGCCGCTCTGGCGCAGCGTGGTGAGACCTGAGACTGGGCACAGGCTCCTGAGCCCCGGGTCCCAGCCAGGGGGCGGTGCCAGCGGAGGATCCCTTGCTGCACGCCCCGTTGCGGCTCTTCCACCCTTCTGTTCCGAAGGGGCGCTTTCTGGGTAAAAATGAAAAGTTCCAAGACATAATCCCAAGTCCGCGGAATGTAAATGAACCAGGCAGTTCTAAAATGTATACGGAAATGCAAAGGTCAGAGAATAACAAGCAGTCTTGAAGAAGAAAGTTGGAAGACTTAACAATACCAGATGACAAGACCTATAAAGGTTATAGTATTTAAGTACAAAGCTATAGTAATTAAGAAGGTATGGTTTGGGCACAAGGGAGACAAACAGACCAAAGGTAAGCTAGCTGTCTATCGATTGATAAGATATAGTCACTTGGTTCGTAACAAAGGTAACATTGCAGTTCAATGGGAAAAGGGACGGACTTTTCAATAAATGAAGCTGGGTCAATGGATATACATTTGGAAAACAAAATTAAAAAATTTTTTTAATGGTTTACTTATTTCTGAGAGAGAGAGAGAAACAGTGTGAGCAGAGGAGGGTCAGAAAGAGGGGGAGATACAGAATCTGAAATAGGCTCCAGACTCTGAGGTAGCTGTCAGCACAGAGCCCGACAGGCGGCTCGAACCCACAACCCGTGAGATCATGACCTGAGCCGAAGTCAGCTGCTTAACGACTGAGCCACCCAGGCGCCTGGAAAATAAAATTAATCTTAACCTCTGCTACACACAAAAACAGTTGCAGATTCATTGTGATCTGATGATCTAAGTGTGAAAGTAAGGCAAGAAAGTTTTTAAAAGGAAACGAGAGAAAAATCTAAAAAAAGAGAAAATCTTATACTAGGTAAAGATCTTAAAGAGGACATAAAAATCTCTAGGAATAAAGAAAAAAGCTGATGAATTGGCAACCTTAAAAATTAGAACTTTTATTTATCCAAAGACACCATCCAGAAAATCAGAAGGGAAGCTACAGGACAGGATATGATGTCTGGTCTGTGTGTGTGTGTGTGTGTGTGTGTGTGTGTGTGTGTGTACATACATGTCTGATAGAGGACCCATATTTAGGATACACGAGGAATTACAAATTAATAATTTAAAAACTGGCAAGTCAATTAAAAGAACTGAGCTGGCTATTTTAAGGGACAATCCAATAGGTAAACTCTCAGCAAAAGAGAAGATTTGTAGAAGTGTCCTACAAAGACAAAGTGTCCTAAATAAAGAATATGTTGGGCTAAAAAGCAAGGCCACATCTAAAGTTGTAGGGCAAGAGTACAAATGGAAGCCATATGTCTACATGTCTACCATATGTCTAAATATTTTAAAGCTAAAACCATGCCAATAAGCTGCTAGATAAAATGTCTATCTTCCTACCTTACAAATATATATTGATAAGGATGACCTGGAAGGCCAAGACTTTTAGAATTCTCAGATTCATAGAATTTCAATGCCGAAGTAGAAAATCCTGAAGAGATGGCCCTGGCCTCTGCCCATGGCCTACCCTGTCTCTTACCTTCCTTGACTCCATTTTGCACCATGAAGAACAATGCACATATGCATGGGGACACTACAACCAGGAAATTCAGGCTCCACCCACTCACCTAGCACCTCCCACTCACAGCTACATTTTGGCCACTGCTCAGGCCTAGGGGTGCACACAGCAGCAATGCCATTGACTCATGGGAGAAAAGACCCAGGGGAGAAGCCAGTGCAGGCTCAGGATAAGAGCTGGGCAATTTGGACAGTGAATTCCAGTTCTCAGGTACCTACCATATTCTGGAAAGTGGGAAGGTAACAGTCTTCAGGTAGCCTTATTCCCTTGACCTCACAAATGTCTTATCCATAGGGAGGGACGTGGCTAGCCAGACTTGGAGCCTCTAAATCAAGGACCTTTCTTAGAAGGGCCTAAGAGTCATACTGCTAAGAAACGAGCTTCAAAATCCTCAACTACACTCTCCCCTCTCTCTTCTCTTTGTGCCCTATACTTGGACACCAAATGACTCCAAATTGCTTTTCACTCATCATCTCTAACATTACACTCACTTCGTGCTTTGGGTACTACACCTGTCTTCTAGCTGCTCTTCTTGCTTTGGCCCCTTTCCCTGTCCAATCTTCCCTGAACATCATTACCAAATTAACCTTTATAAAACATGACATTTCATCACATCTCTCCATATATCACAGACTGCAAAGGCTCATTGAAGACAGCACCCTCAATTTCCAGCACCCTTTTATTAAGTCTTCCCATTGTATCTTTCTTGCCACATTACCACACTGCTTCAACCAAAGACTTTGAAGTACCCCGATCATCATCAACATAAATGAAAGTGTGTTAGATGGAGTTTTAATGTTGAGTGTGTGTTTTTTTTTAAATATTTTTATTTATTTCTAGGAGAGAGAGAAAGAGACAGTGTGAGCAGGGGAGGGTCAGAGAGAGAGGGAGATACAGACTCTGAAATAGGCTCCAGGCTCTGAGCTGGCAGTCAGCACAGAGCCCGACGCGGGGCTCGAAACCACGAACCGCGAGATCATGACCTAAGCGAAAGTCGGACGCTTAGCCGCTTGACCGATTAAGCCACCCAGGCGCCCCTGTTGAGTGTGTATTAACCCTTCCAAAACTGATGAACCATTGTACCAGGTGGCTCATAAAGTCTCTATTAATCAAGACCTTTAACTAGCCAGCATTTTCTGTCTCACAGTTGTGCTGAATAAAAAAAGACTATTTCTTTAGACTGAGGTCTTGGTTGCTCTTTAGGACGTTGGAGGTGAGACCGCCTCCCTTTTCAATGGAGCCTTTCAACACCCCTCCCTGAAGAGGAATGCCACTCATACCCTTCTGGACTAGAAAACCTGCCTTTAACAAATCTCTGTTCCAGGCAGTGTTCAAGGCACAGGGGACACAAGACAAAGTCTCTGGCCTCACAGAGCTCTGTCCCTGGGGAAGCTTACCTTTTTTTGGATGCTAGCTAGAGGAATTTAGAGGAGCAAATATTCCTACAGTTGCTGGAATTCTGAGTTGGGGTGACAGTTGTGGGGACAGGAATACCTTGTAGAAACACTCACATCTCATCATGTAGGAGGAAGCTGCTTATGTCCATGTGGCACCTGAGTCACTTTCTCCTCCATTTCCTGTTCTTCCCAGATGAATGCATAGCTCCCACACGGAGAGAAAGGAAAATAGGAAAAATAGAAAAATAACTCAGTGAATTGCATTCAAAGGACATTGCAAAACCTAGAGTTACAGGGTGTCAGTGACTGTGAGGTGATGCCCATGCCTTCTATCCTGAAGCCTCTGCTGGAGCCCATCCTCTCTTTTTGCGTGGGTCATGTTGCTACAGCATGACGTGTACTCAGAGTTTGTACATAGGGTAACAGGCCTATGGATAACCAACTTAATTAAATAAAAACAAACTCAATCAAATAAAAATATTAATAAATTTAAGATAATTTCCCCCCTCCCATAAAACTGTAATTAATGGTGCTAAGGAGACAGGAATACAAGAGGCATTTGAGAGAGGGGAGATGCATCAGGCAAAGTTTCTTAGAAGAAATCAGTTTTGAAACAGATCTACAATGAAAGGAAACTGAATCCCATCTGTATTGACCAGAGAAAAGGCCAAAGGCTACATCTTCTTCTACTCGGTTTATCACTAAAGCTCATGTGACCTTGGGTATCAGTAAGGATACATCAACAATCAACATCAAGGGTTTGCTAGTTCATTCCCTCACCTACATAACTCCTGAGGCTGCCGCTTATGAAATTCTCTTCCCTCAGGTTTTCCTGGGAGGATGCTTTCCTTCTCATGCCAAGCCTCACCAAGCCTCCTCTGTGGTTCATCAGCCTGCAGTGCTCCTCACGGTGAATCCTACCCATCTCTGGGCTGTGTTGCTTGGTGACCTCCCAAAGCTGGAAAGACCACGTAAGTGCCCCCTGATGGCTCTCCTGAAAGGGAAAGGCTACCTCTTCGTAGAGCTCCCAGTGCTAGAGTAGAGCAAAGGGGTGACTCTTCTATTGTCTTCTCAGTGATCCTACTGAAATTCTTATTTCAGCTCCAAGCCTCTACTCCAAAAACCAGGCCCCTGCTCCTCCAGGCAGATCAGCTGTCAGTCTGTCTGGAATACTGGTTGCATGCAGTCCAGCTGAAACAGCCTTGAGTAGATCCATCTTGGGTAGATTCCTAAGAAACAAATTGCTGTGTCAAATGGTAAGTTTATGTTTAACTTTTTAAGACACTGCCAAACTGTTTCCAAAGTGGACCTACCATTTTACATTCCCACCAGCAATGTGCAAGGATCTCAGTTTCTCTGCATCCTTGACAACACTTGGTACCATCTTTTTTTTTTTTAATTATAACCAATCAGCTGTCTATGTAGTGGTATTATGGCTCTATTTGCATTTCTCTGATGATTATGTTGTTGTTGGGCATCTTTTTACTTGCCTTTTATGTACTTTCTTTGGTAAAAAGTGTATTGAATCTTTTAATTTAAGTCTATTCAGTCTTATGTCTACTTTTAATTGGGTTGGGTTCTTATTATTGACTTGTAAGAATTCTTTTTTTTTCCCCCAAAACAAAAGGTCTCACATATGTATCATTGAGCCAACCTACTGGTACAGAAGCATGTAAGAGAGAAAAATCATTTCCCCAATAAAACATATCTATTTTTCAAGTAGTAGTGATGTTTACAGAGTGATAGGATCTGAGCACGCAACCTTCGTGCAGCATAAATATGTTTGCCGCCTCATATGCGATCCCTTATAGACCTAGCTTGGTTCTTCTCCAGTGCCGCCTCTTGGAATTGTAC